CCGAAAAGTATCTTAGAAACGAACCCACAGCTTACCTGGGGCTGATCCCGCTTCTGATTCCGTCTCATCCGGAGCTCTCTCCTCTCTCAGCCACGTGGCTGTCTTTCTGTAGTTTTTCCTCCTTTTTTTTCCCCCTTTACAGCTGCTTAGCACGCAGAGCAGCACGCTCGCATCCTTGCAAAGCGAAGCAGCTGGTTTTCATTCCAGCAAACGAAGAAAAAGGAAATCTTAAGGTTTATTAATTGCCCAGGAGTCCAAGATCGAACCCTGCCCTCCGATTCCTTCCTGGACTGGGACGCCTGCTTGGGGAAGCCCACCAAATGTGCCCCCTTCCTTAACAGGATCCCCAGAGAAAAAGAGCTGGTGACGGCCACGGTTTGCCTCGTTCGGGGGCGAAGGGTATGTAGGCTGTAAACCAGTAGGAGATGGGTTAATCTGGTTTCGTAGGCCTGTGTGTGCTATCAGCAGCCTGATGCAAGTGTCAGTCTCCGATCTTCACCAGGGATGTCAGCAAAACCCGTAGCTGCAAGGCTAGCCTTGGGTAGGGAATTAGAAGGAAGACGTGCTCAGGTGCGTGTATTTTTTTGGTCCACGTGTGATGGAAGATTCGCGGCACGTATATCGGTGCCGGGGAAGGTTTTCTTAAAGCAACAGAAGAGGGGGAAGTATTTATTCTTTGAAACACCCCGAAAAAACAACTTGTTGGTACAGACCAGCTGGGTAAAGGTGCTATGCCTAGTTGGAAAAATCTGGGGAATATCCGTAGCTGCCTTGGATGACAATGAGGGGCCCCAAAGGATGCGAGATTGTTTGGCCCCATCCTCTCAGTTGGCTTAATTCAATATTCTGGAGGGGTCTGGGGGATTTCAAAGCCCAGGGCTCCAAACTGGCCCGTGGAGGGTTCCTATCTGGCTTGCAAATTGCCTGGGGTGGAAGAAGATTCTTCCCTTCCCAACACCCGTGCATTTAATCTGCACATCCCTAAAAGCCAAGATGTATCCATTTCTGAAATTTAATTTCTAGAGATGTCGAGGAGGCAATTGAATTCTGGCCATCTCAGCAATGTATTTCAAAGCTCGAAAGGGACATCAGAGTCATTTAACAAAAATGAAAAAGATGGCTTGCCAGAAACACAGATCGCAGAAGGGGAACTTCCCTTGCACAGATGTGATCCGTTGCCTTTAAAAGGCTCAGCTGTTACCTTTCCACCTGAAAACCCACAAAACACCATAATTTTAAAAAAGAGAAGAGCCGGCGAGCGAATAAAAACCAACCAGTCTTATCAATATGCACCGTAGTTTAATTAAATTAAAAAGTAAACTAAACTGTTTCCATCGTACGCTTTCCAAAGACCAGTTGCTCTAAACTTAGCTTAAAAAAAAAATTAAACTTTTAAAACAGGTATTTACAGGACGTACCCTCCCCGCATCCTTTAAATATTTCAAACCATTTTTTTTAGCCCCAGAAAAAGACAAGGAGAACGGAAAAGGGGCTTGAGTTGTGCTCACGCACGTCGGATGCAACCTAGCGGGCTTTTCCGTGCCAACGGCGAGGGGCGTCATTGGAAGAGCTCTTGATGGGAAAACTAAGCTCAGATGTATTCCCGCGTTCCTGCAAGCCAAACCGTTTGCAAGTGAGGACTCCAAATGGGAAAGATTAGGCTTTGAATATCAGGAAAATCCAGATGGGGAAGAGATTTCTACGGGGCCCACCGTGGAAGCAAACACGCTCGATGGCCGCATTTCTGCAGGGTTTAACCAGGAGAGTTGGGCCTCTGCTGCTCCCACGTGCCCCGCGTGCCCGTCACTCGTGCCCGTTTGAACGTTATGCTGCTAAGTGGGCAAAGCCCAGCTCCCCTGTGACACGTTCATTTCCCCCCTCTCTCTGTCCCCAGAAGAAAACTTTCCCAAGTCAACACCCAAAAGATGACTTCTAAAGACCCACCGACGTTCAACAGACCCGGCTGAGATGAAAAGAGGCGACTGGTGATAAACCCCAGATTTTGTGGCCGTTTTCGGTCGGGGTAGGGAGAAAGTTAGCTTCTCGGAAGCGGAGGACCCTTCTGCTCTGCAGAAGTTCCCAGAAAATGTTTCTGCTGCCCTATGCATTTAAAATGAACCTGGGAACATCGTCAGCACCCCCACCGTCTCCGAAGAAAACCGTGTTGGCTTCGCCAGCCCTTTGGGGAAATCGCCCACGAGCCAAACCCACTCGTCTGGCTTCTAGATCACCACTCCAATGCGTGCCAGGCGCTGAGATTTATCCTGACAAACAGCCCGGGTACTCCAAGCGCAGAGGTCGAGGCCCGCTGAAGATGCAACAGCGCAAAGAGGAAGAAAGGGAAAAAGTAGACGGCTATTGCTTTGTTATCCAATCCAGACTTAGCAGAAAAATAAAGATCTATCTTAGAGACCCACATCTGTCCATGTCTATGTATATATACATATATCTTTTTTTTTCCTGAAAAACCTCTTTTCAGGGAAGAAAAGACCACACACACACGCACACACAACAAAGCTGAAGAACTTTGCTGAGTCTCGTGCCGACAAAGGCACGATGAGGTATTTTGGGGCCACCCAAGCCGGACCCTGCCTTCCCGTGACACCACATCACGGCGGAAGCGGCTTTGCGGGGCGTCTGCAAGACCCCCCCTTAACGCTTAGTGCTTCTGTGGCAGCTGACCCCTAAATGCCACCCGGGGTGCTCCGTGGACCAGGCTCCCGCCTTCACCCCACGGGTCCGGCGAGGGGAGGCAGGAGGGCCTGGCTGGTCTTCCTTTCAGGGCAAAGCGGGACCTCCCCAAAGGGAGGGCCGAAGAGCACCGGGTGCCCACCCCTCCTCGTCCTGCCCGCTTCCCTGGATCCGATGCCCTTCTTCTGCCTCGGGCCCGCTCTCCCACCCCTGCTGGCTCCGGCCTCAGAGCGACCGGGAGGCGATTTCTGGTCCGTCGCCGGCTCGCGGGAAGGGGGTTACTCCCCCGGGCCGCCCTGGAGTGGCTCGCAGTCCGAACTGAAAAGCTCTTTGTACAGTGGCGGGAAGACGGCGTGGACGACCACGGGGTGCATCTGGCGAAAGGAGCGGAACTTCTCCACGTGCTGGGAGCAAAGGCTGCGGAGTTTCCCTTTGGGGGGCAGCTGGAAAGAAATATCGGGGAAGAGGCAGGGTTGGAGCTGGGAGAAGACCCTCTCGCGTCGTGTGGCTCCCCCGGAAGGTGCCGCGCCTGGGGCGAGACCCGCTGCGCGCCTGGGGGTCCCAGGGGAGAGGCAGGCAGGCTCTTTTCTCCTCTGTTCAGAGCCCGGGCACATAGATACACACCTTGGCTAAGATGCCCTCCCGGTGGTTTTTCTGCAGCATGTGCCTGAACGCCACTTCGAGGTTGCTTTGCAGGTGGGCCACCTTGCTCTTCTCCTGCAACCAGGGGCGATCTGCAAAATGCACAGAGCAACCCGCTGGGGCTACACCCGGCTGGGCAAAGCGGGCTGGGAAGGAGCTTTGCCCCCCCCCAGCCGGGGCTCACCTTTCCTGGGTGCAGATCTGATCTGGCAGCCTGACATTAAGCCATGGCATTTTAAATTCTTTTAGTCTTTAAGCCATGGTGTTTTTTTTAAAATTCTTTTATTCTTTAAACTGGCCCAGACCTTCTGCCATTAGTTGGGGCGGCAACGGAGTCTTTTCATTCATCTGTTATTCAGAGGCAGCTTAAACCGGTGGTTTAATTTGCAGCTTTATGGGATCAGCTGGTAAATTAAACCATCAGTTTTCCGTTCTTGTGCAATGTCGTTTTTTTTTTGGAGATGAGTGAAAACCCAAGAAATTTGGAGAGGCGACGGTTCAAGGAGAGACAGGAAGCTCACCAACTCTAGCCTTGGGCCCCGCTATAAAGGAAAGCGGAAAGTCCCTGCTTTCACTCCTACAAGGACTTATCCCAATGTTGTTCTCCCCTCGAACCGAGAAGTCACAACCATTTCTTTTCCATCCAACCGAAAGCCATGAATGGCGGTCCAAAGAGCGGGCAGCGAGCGCCTGACCCCACCACCTGCGCCCGGCTCTTACTTGCGTTGATGAGCACCAGGGCGCTGAAGAGGGCGATTTCGTTCTCGGAGAAGTGGAGCGAACACAGGCTGTGCGCGAAGTCGAAGATGGAGTTGATGAGCTCGCTGCACCCTGGGGAAAACGAGACGCGTCTTTCAAACCGCAAGAGGAAAGGCCACCAATCGGTGCTCCTCCTTGTTGAAGTTCGCTCAAGCTTGCAAGCCAACGGAGGCCACGCTCCTGGGTTTGCAAGAACCTCTCGCTGCCCGTTGATGCTCCTCAACCCCGCGCAAGTAGCATGGCTTCAGCCCTGACGCCAAAACCCCTAACCGGACCCCCTTTTATGCCCTACTTTGGGCCCCGACCCACATCCACAGAGGGAAATCCACCATTCTTGATCCAGACAGAAAGGATGTGCTTGTACCGAGAGACTTGAAGACCTCTGGGCTGGCATATTTGCCCTCAAAGAAGACGGTCCGGTTCTCGGAATTGAAGGCCCGGAACATCCTCACGAGAACCACCTCCATGGCCCCTGAATGGGAAGAGGACACCGTTAGCTTGGCCAACCCCTCCTTCTTTGGGGAAGACTTTGACTACGTCCTCAGCTCCGACTGAAATGGGATTCTGCTCCCGTTCGGTGCTGTTCTGGTCTCTCCCTGTCTTTGGCGACGGTGGGATCTTTGGGGGGTTTATATGACATCTAACCCATCCAATTACAGAAGTTTCCTGGGCGGATTACCGAGTTACTACAAGGTGAAAATGTATTCGAAACGGAAGGCAGCGACGTCAACAGTTAGCAATTAGTCAGTTGCGCAGGAAAGAGAGAAAACGTGTCGGGCTCAGACACCCAGCTTAAAGGGGGCCCTTAAAATCGAGCGATAAAAGTGTCACTTATTCCCTATGGAAAAGGTGGCTGTACAGACGGGCCTATGAAGGCCTCTCAGGAAGGGAGTGTGGCATCAGGCCCCCCTTACCAGCTTTGAGGAGGACGATCTGATCGTTCTGGCAGAGGTCCATGAAGCCCCCCATTCGCTTGGCGAACTCCACCACGTATTGGATGGCTTCCGTGATGCGGCAAGCACAGCGCTCCCACATTTCCTCCGTAGACTGGTAGAAAGAGAGAGAGAGAGATGACGAAGAAGAAGTTTGGGTGGATCTTGCAAAATAGAGGGGAATAAAGATATCCAGAACCTTTCTACATGGTTTTGCGTGGGGATCCCAGATGTGCTTCTTAAAGCTCTCTATTGAGTTGGACTGTAATGTCCCTCTTGTAGAGTTGTCCCTTCTGCCCAGAAGCTGAAGTCGCGAAGATCTAATGAAGGTCAACCCTGCTGTGATGCTGACCTTCTACCGTGAGATGTTTTCTTCCTAACTTGAGCGCTAACACTCCACGGACTGTTCTGAAGAGGGACTCTAACATGGGCACGACCATGGTGGAAAAGGCCACGGCCTACTGTCAAGCCTTCACCTTGCCCCCCACCACAGAGGGCACCGATCGTGAAGGTGGAGTCTCTTTCTGAGAACGGGTGGAACCTCGTCTCACCTTTTTCTGGTAGCTCCCAATTTCTTCCCTGGTGAAGGTCTCCCACCTCAGCAGCTGGAGGTCTTCCAAGCAGAGTTGACAGGTCTCCCGGTAGGACTTGAGGACGTTCTGGGTCAGGTGCTCTGCAGAAGGAAGGCAATGGGATGGCTGTGTGTCTGCAATTAACCCCACCCCAACAGGAATCTGCTCTGGGCCTAATCTCAGCTGCCTTGACTTCTATTGCTTTGCCTAAGTCTGATTTTGGGAGGGGGGCACCAAGCCTGCATTTCATCTTGAGATACCACCTTTCCCAGGTGGAAGAACGAATCTTGGCAGATTCCTGGAACAGAAATCTCCAGATGGAGGCAGCGTTACTCCCCTGTCATTCTGAGGGTGGGGAAGATAATGTCCACCACCTGGGAAGAACTCCCTGGACATCAGCCTTTCTGAAAACCACAAAGATTCCCACCATCTCGTTAACACCTACTTTCCCTCCAGCCCCTCCGAAAGCCTCCTCTCACTCACCAATCTCCGTCAGGGAAGCGTGTGGGCACTCCAAGAAGCCGGTGAAGCTCGGGGTGGTACAGAAGTCAAGGGTCTCACTGCCAGCCCCTCCGAACGCTGTCCGTTCCGCTCGGCCGACGTTGGGGGACAGGAGCTCCGGCGACGCCTGCGTCTCCAAAGCATAATAGACGCTCGTCCTGGGCTCTAACTTGATGACCCCAGGACTGTACCCCTTTTTGAAGGGGTCCTGCCGGTCCTCACCCAGGAGGCTCTGAGCCTTGGTGAGTCCGTTGGAGTAGGCCAAGGCAGCGGTCTCATCTGGGGACTGGCTAAGGCGGGCCTGTCCGGTCAGGAGGGCGGTGGAGCAGCTCGAGCCTTCTCGGAGATCTGGGGAAGGGTCCAGCTTGAGCTGTCCGTTGGCCAGGCCCAAGGAGTAGGTGGAACACTCCCCACCTTGCTGCTGTTGCTGCTGCAGCTGTTTCTGAACCTCAGCGTGGAGGCTGTCCCGTTGCTTCTTGGACATCCGGCCAAATTTGACAGCTGGGAAGAGAAGAAGAATCAGGGGGTGACTCTCGGACGACGCAAGGCATGTATGACACGAGCCATGTGGTGTTATTCGGTGGTACTTGAAGCTCCGTCTCCACATCTCCACTGGGAGCGCCAAGGTGGTCCTTCTCTCCCGTCCCATTTCGCGGTGTGCCAACAAGGGCGCCCAACTGAGGCAAAGGATAGAGCGAACTCCCAAACCTGAGCGTACAGAAATCCAGGGAAATCTTGTGTGTGATGGAATGGACTTATGAAGGCCAGGCTCAGGGAGATAAGCGTGGTCTTAGCCCCCAACAGGAGCGTGGGAAGTTCAAGAAGAGGAGGCTGGCACCTCCCTAAGGAATTCACGGTGTTGTGGCTGGCTGGCTGGCTGGCTGGGGAACTAGGGTCCAGTCTGGGGAGATTTCTGTCTGGAGGTTGGAGCTAATAAACGCAACTGAACTGTATTTGCATTGTCTCGTGGAGTTCCGTGGGCTGAACCTGACATTATGGGACTTAGGGACCCTCCTGAGGTGCACCCCAACACGGGCCTTACCATCCCGGGACATGCCAAGGCTGAGACATTTCTGCAGGCGACAGTGTTGGCAGCGGTTGCGGCTGGTACGATCAATCGGGCAGTTCTGTTGCCGAGTGCAAGAGTATGCGACGTTCCCTTGTTGGCTGCGTCGGAAGAAGCCCTGGAGTGGAAGCCATGAAGGTGAACAAAGAGGACGGATCCTTGGGAGATCTCCGGCTTCACTGGTGGCCTCCAAGGCCACGTGAAGCCAAACAGTTTGGTGGCCCACCAGGGAAGCGAGGAGTGCCAAAACTGGTTCCGTAGAGATTTAAGGGCATTCGCTTCCAGAGCCCAAGGGGAAAGGGGGACCCCCTCTCTGCCCCCACCCAGAATAGTCTTCTGCAAGGGAGAGGGAACCACGGTGGCCAACAGGCCTCGTTGGGAAGGGTCCGGCACAGGAGACCCCAAGGAACAAGACTGTCGCCCCACCTTGCATCCTTCACAAGTGATGACCCCGTAGTGGATCCCGGAAGACTTGTCTCCGCAGATCTTGCAGGGGATCACCTCAATCTGAGCTGTGGCGGGGAGAGAAGGCAAGGAGAGGTTCAGCTCTCGAGAGACGCGTCCTCCCGCGGTGGGAACGCGCACACTGGCCAGCCGTGTTCCGGGGGGAGCAAGGACGGAGCCCCAGACGGTCCTTTTCCCTAACGGCGGGGGAAGGCCAGCAACCAACTCTAGACGACGTGTCTCCAGCTCTTGGCCAACAGAGCCTGCAGTGCTCATCGGGGTCCACCAGAGGGCATCCTCGCCCCACGTTCCCTGCCGGCGCCTTTCACAAGACCTGGGAACAGCTGGAGCAAGCAAGCCAACTCCCGAGCTTCTGCAGAGCGCCCTCGTCCAGCGCACGTTGTGTGTGTATCTGAGACGGAGGGTGTGTCTGCAGCGCAGGCCAGGTAGAGGGAAGGTAATTCAGCACCTGGGTTGGAAATCCCCTCCCTCCACCAGCACGCCGCTCGCATCGACGCCGCCTGCTCCCTGGAAGACAGGCGGAGGAGCCTACCTCGCAAGGCCGTTGTGCTGCGGAAGCCCATCCGCCAAGCCACGGCGAGGGTGGCACGTCCCCCTCCCCAGATTCCTTCCTTCTCGGACCCGTGGCCTTGGCGCCCGGCCAACCCGAGGATCCCGGACCGCCGTTTCCCGCACCCCGCGCCGTCTTTCTTCCCCCTCGCCCAGCCTGCTGCTATCTTCCCCCATCTCCCCGTCACGACTACATAATCGACGGAAAGAAGAGATCAAACCGCAGAGGCCAAATATTTCTTCCCTTCGCTTCAAAAGCCGATACTGGTAAGCAAACACGCGGGAGCAGGGTTGAGTCAGCTTTACAATTAGTCAACCGGTCCACCTCGACGGAGACTGCCAGGAAGACGCACTCTCACTTTTAAGCAAAGCCTTCTCTGCCAGTAAACCTGCCCTTTTAACCCAAGGTCAACGGGGGCCTCGGGTGCTGCAACTGGGACGTTTGCAAGGAGACGAAGCAGCCAAATTTAAAAAAAAAAAAAAAAGGGGGGGTGTATTTTCTCTCTCTTTTCTCAAATTTCTCAAACCGATGCGGTCAGGAATCGGGATGTTTCGAACCCGTGATTCCAGCCCCCACCGGGCGGATTCCGTGGTGTCACAGGAAGGGTGGCGTCAGCGGAAACAGGAGGGCGAGACCAGGGCCGATGAGCCAAAATGGTTGTCTCCGGAGAGGTCCACGTTTCGGGAGGGAGGGGTGGGTGGCGCCGGGCCCCCAGGGGCCACGAGGGAGGGTTTCATCCCGGGACTGCACCCCTGGCTGACTCCGACGGCCCACGGCGGCCTCCTCGGTCCACTCCCCGCTGCTGCTTCTCCTGGAGTGGCAAAGTGGCCGTATTCTTGCACCAACTGCTTTCAGATCCTGGCTCTGCCGATTCGAACGCAGCTCTCAACGGCTGCCCGCCTTCCCCCAACGTGAGGATTTGGTAGAAACGAGCAATAAAACTTGAGTCGTATCAGGCTCGCGTCTACACCCACTGCAAGGCCTTTTTGTCCTGGAATGGTGACCCCCCACCCCCAGATATCGAAGACAACCCTTGTTCCCAACTGGCACGACCTGGTCGCCCCCAGCCAACGTCTCTAGTTCACCTCCAGAGCTAAAAAACACGGCCTGACGTCTGTATCGGCAGCGCGAGCTGGCCCAGTTGGGTTTGCAGAACGCAAAAGCGTTGGCTTCTTCCTCTCCTCCTTTCCCCCAACATCCCGCTCTCCCAGTCACACGGTACCAACAGTACCACCGTGCGAAGCGCAACTTTCTATGACTTTTGGAAAGCCTTGAGTTGCCCCTTCCTCCGCCCAGGTTGAGAAACTGACCGGACAGGGAAACTGAATCATCTCTGGATGCTGAACCACACGCTAGTTGAGCAGGCCCAGGATGTGTCGGATGGCATCCCCAAGTCTCCTTTCGGCTTAGGGGAGCAGCCGGAGAGTTCAGGGGCCCCCCCATTGCCTCCCCTACCCAGAAAATATCACCCAAGGCGGCCCCTTCCCTCTACCTATCAATAGGGCCGGCCTCGCTCTGCTTTAAGACATCAGCAAGACCCACCTTTGAAAAAGAGTCACTTTTTTAGAACCGACTGCAGCTCTAAACACAACTTTGACCTGAGGTTTTAAGTCCCATCAGCAGTTCTCCCCCCCGCCCACAGCCCCCAGCCCCCTTTTCACAAATCTCTCTTCTTGGTTTAGGATCCCGGGAAGCAAAGAAGCTGAGCTTTGGGCTGGAGGCAAAATCCTTGCTGGCTTTTAACAATCTGAGGATTATTAAAAGCTGGTTAAGGTCACTAGGCAGGTGTTGGGGGGCTTGTGGAGGGGTTGATCTCCGTGGAGAGGTCTTCAGGCTGCAAACGCTCCCCCACCTGGTCTCCCTTCTGCCCCATTTCTGTGTTCCTCCCCTGTTCTTTCCGGCTTATTTTACGATTATTGGCCCGCTTGGGTGTCCTACGGGTAGGAAGGAGCAGAACTGACCCCTTGTGCCTCGACCTCCTGGTGGCAGTTTTCCAAAAAATGCAGATCAGCTCCTGGAAAACTGTGCCCGCTTCCAGTTGCAATTGTTGGCACGCTCTCAGACCTAAGGCGGTGCCCTGAGTGGCGGGCAGAGTTTTAGCTCCCTTCTGGCCTCTTGGCAAAGTTTTCTGGCCTTTTGGGTGGGAATAAAGAAGCGGGCACTGAATCTTCGGCTCGTGCATCCTTCGGTTCCTCCGGACCGGACTTTGGGGTCAGGTTACTAGTCCCTGTGAAGGGGAGGCTCTCAGTGGAGGCCAACAGCGCGGCACGCAGACTTTCCCGGAGGGCCGTACATCTGTTCCACAGCACAAAACCACCACCAACCTCCCTCTCGCTCGTGGGGACGGTCCAAGATCAACACATGCCAGGAAGAATGGACCTCCCACCCCCATTTTTTTTAAGGTAGGCCAAGGCTTCCTCCTTTTGAACATAAATCTGAGAGCGCCTTCAGGGCCTCTTCTGCACCTGTTGCAAGCACCAAACCCCCAAACCACACAGCTTGAGAAACGGCACTCGAGACGAATGCCTGCGCGTTGCAGCCGATTCACCCCCCTCCCCGGCCTCCCCCCGGCCCCTTCCCCTCTCACAGCACAGGGGCGCCCGCAACGTGGGGAGAAGAAGGGAGATTCGTTAACACTTTCCCCACATGAATCAAACCGAAAAGCCGTGTAAGCATTTACAGACAGGTACCGACAACCTCCGCCCCCATGGATGGGTTACTCAGCTCTGCTGGGTGCTGACGGAGGAGAAGCTCTGGGTAGGTGCCCCCCCTTAAGAGAACAAAAAAACGCCTTGGCTACAGCTGAGGACGCCTGGGGGTTTTCTCTTGCAAAGAGGAGGAAAAACGGGGAGCGCAAGATGCTGAGTCGAAAGGAGGCCGTTTTGCAGGGAAGAGCGGACACGGGTTGCTGGGATGGCGATAACCCACTGCAGGACGTGCAGCTGTCAAAAGGCTTCCAGAAGCCACTTTGGGAGGCGGGAGACCCCCGACTTTCACACCCAAGACGAGGGGGGAGTGGCACGGAAAGGTGCGGGAGAGGAGGACCGTAATCTGGCGCGTGGGACGAGGGTGCCCTGTCCGGAACATGACAGCAAAGCGTGGCGAGGTTCCAAATGCCCCCTTTCCACCGAGAGAATTCTGGGTTCTTCTTAACATGATTTGTGGAAGGAAGGAGGGACAAGAGAAAAAGGAAGGGAAGAGAACAAGGAAGGAAGGAAGGAAAGAAGGACAAGAGGAGAAGGAAGGAAGGAGGAAGAGAAGAACAAGGAAGGAAGGAAGGAGGAAGAGAAGAAG